AAGATGAAGATACATAAAACGTACTTTACTGTTAGAATTGGGGCAACCACACGCCTTGCTGCTGTGTCTAAGATGGCACCCTGGGCGCTCCTGTTCACCAGTGGAACCAAAAGGACAATATTGCAAGCGAGGATAGTCAACACGCCTATCATGTACACACGCACAAAGACGCCCCCTTCAGAACAAAACCACGTGTGTGGGAAGTAGCGGGCACACGCCAAAGAGAGCAGAATCAGCCTGGAACAAACACAGTCGTTGTATAGAGTCTCCACATTTCGGGGGCAGTACCTACTTGATTTGTCTCAACTACATATCGAAAATATTGCAGTAGTCCGAGGTCTCGATTGCACCAAAGGATTTCCAGGGACCTTCCGAAATTTTTCATGAAATTAATGGAGAAGTTCCATACAGGCAGCGGAATTTCAGGGGCAGTATTATAACTGTAAATCTCCGCGATATGTAATTGTACCCATTCTCCCTGAGCCTCACTTCTCTAAAGCACGTATGCAGAATGTCCATAAATTGGCGGACGAATTAAAAACTTACGCATAACTGTTTTTCCCTGTTTCTGTACTTCAAATTCAGAACCAGTATGACGAACAATAAATATAAAAAAAGGTGAGGAAGACGAGTATTTGAAAGTATGAGACACGAAATGACAAACGACAGGAGAAAACTGCGTAATGAGGAACTTGGAAATTTTTACTAATTGCAAGGGGCATTTATAAACATGTTGATTCATCTTCGGGTTACATAAAGAAAGGGGACCAGTTAAGTGATAATCTACTGCTCTGGGCTGCGTCACTCACCATATAAACCTGAAGACAAACTCGAAGATCCCGGGGAACACTAAGTCGTCCGACGCCACCAACCATTTGCGGCCGAAGAGCGTAAGAGACGGCATCACTCCTGCGAACAAGAGAATTTACTCTTTAAAGCCCAGTGTGCAGTTTGTATTTATGGGCCTTGTGTCATTCTTAGTGTATGCAGGGCCTCTACATACACAAGATAACAAAACCACGTCACTACGAATGTTCGAGAGATCAAGATCCACAGTCCTAGACCGCGAGGAGACTGTAATCGCGTTCAGTAAGTTTTATCTGAACATTTTTCGGCACGAGTAAAGTAGAGTAGAGTTTATTTACATTCCATAGATCCTTCTTAGGACTCAACCAAAGGATGTAGAACATGTCATTTCATACAATGTACATACACTTCAGAACTTTCAACACAAGTACAAGAACGTATTTCACATATCAATGTACATAAATTTCAGATTCTGCAATACAAGTATGAAAAATAATTTTACAAATTAATATACATAAACCTCAGAATTTTAAATATAAATACAAAACTTGCTTTACATATACGTAGATTATGGATATAAAGCTTAAACATTTTCAGCAGAGATGAAATCATCTACAGAATAGAAGGAGTGAGTAAAGAGGTAATCTTTCAATGCAGGCTTGAATACCTTTATATCATAATTTAGACTTTTAATTGTTGGTGGAAGATTATTAAA